CTCTGGTTTCCCAACTGCCTTCCCAGGGAACTGCCACCGCTGGGCTGACGTCGGGGAGGGGGCGGGCGGGCCAACACGGGCCACTCAGAGTTTCCAGCGACACTTCCAGAGTGTGGGAAGCGAGGTGCAGCGCGGGGAGCCAGGACAGAGGGCAGGCGGGAAGAGCGAGCGGTGAGCCCGGGGAGCGCCCAGGCTCGTCCTGCCCGAAGCCGGGGAGGCAGACAGAATGGGACCGGGCTCAGGGCGCCCCCGCCCCCCGGCAGAGCGGCCCCTCCGCTCTTGGGGAGAGTCTGTGCCTGCGCCAGCGCAGCCGACCCTGTGCAGACGCGCGCGCGCGTGCCCGGCGAACGAGCGGGCGCTCACACACGTGCAGGCCCCGGGAGGAAAGCGGCCCCAGGGAGCGGCCCCTGGGCGTGCCGCGCCCCTAGAGAGGATGAGGGTGGGGTCCCTGGGCAGGAATGGGGTCGGGAGGGTCTTGGTGTTCCCAGACACCGTATTTGTTTTTTGATCTTTCTGCTTTTCCGCTGCCCTCGCTGCTCTGACACGGGTCCCAAGAGATCCCGCTCTCGGGCCATTCGCTCTGGCCATCCCTTCTTCCCGTCTCTGCCCACGCCTGTGTGCCCAGGGCCTGTTACACAAGGCGAGGGTGCCTCACGACACTGACCTGTGGTGCACTCAGACTCTGGCGTCCTTGACGCCCTGGGCTTGGCTCTGGGATCCCAAAGCCCCAAACCAACCAACAAGCAAATAGTATTGATCAACTTTATATAGGTGTTGGGAGTGATCGGTGATAAATTATGAAAATATTTATTGCTCCTCTACTGTGTCATATTGGTGCCTGAGACCACCATGTGCCTTAGAGTGTTTTCCAAGCACTCCACTAGATCCAAAAGTTGTAAGAGTGGAGAAAAGAAGTACTTTTCAGTCCTTACCACCATTACTACTGTTAATCTTTCCCCCACGGCTCTCCCCGGTTGCGTTGAAACAGTATTACATATGAAAGCTGGAGGAGGAGATGCCTAGGCCAAAGCAGCTTCAGAGACAGGATGCTGGCTAGCTTCCAGGATCTGGGGTCGTGGGGTGAAACAGCCCGCCACACTGGCAGAAGTGGATCTCTGGGTGCACATCATAGGGAAGCAGGTCCAAGACTTCCAAGGAACACTTTTCCTTTTTTTTTTTTGAGTTGGGGTCACACCCAGGCTGGAGTGCAGTGGCACAATCACAGCTCATCACAGCCTCAACCTCCTGGGCTCAGGTGATTCTCCTGCCTCAGCCTCCCAAGTAGCTGGGACTACAGGCACGCACCACCACGCCTAATTTTTAAATTTTTTGTAGACAGGTCACACTATGTTGCCCAGGCTGGTCTCAAACTCCTGGGCTCAAGTGATCCTCCCACCTCAGCCTCCCAAAGTGCTGGGATTACAGGCATGAGTCACCATGCCTGGC